CCCACCTACAATGAGGTATCTCATCCCTATTAGCACAACTATGATTTAAAAAGGAAAAACAAAAGGTATTGTGGAGATTGCAGTGAAACCAGGACCTTCATCCCCTAGCTGGTGGGAATGTAAAATGGTACAGCCACTGGGGAAAATTCCAAAGAGGTGAACACACAACCCAGCAGGAATGCAAACAGAAACCTGTACACCAATGTTCACTACAGCACTTTTCACAACAGCCAAAATGTTGAAACCACCAAAACATCCACCAATAGACAAATGGATAAACAAAATGTGGTACAGGCACACTATGGAATTTACACAGCTATAAAGCCCTTATGTATGTTACAACATAAACACTGAAAACACCATGCTGAATGAAATTCCATGATCTCACTTATATGAAACAAGCAAATACATAGAAACCAAAGATTACTTGGTTACCAGAGTTGGGAGTGAGGAGGAAAAAGGGAGCATTTGATTAGGGAACATTGAATTTATATTAAGGTGGTGGAATGATTTGGAAAAGGACAGTGAGAATGGCTGTACTACTGGAAGAATGTAATCAATGTCACTGACTTGAAAATGTAGAAATTGTTGAGATGACATATGTTCTATTATGTATGTTTTCATCACAACAATAACACACTTAGGGATCACAGCAGAGGACAGTCTAATGTATTGTTGGACAATGAACCCCCATGTTGGAAGGTACTACTGAACAGCCCCAACAATGAACTTAACCAAAGCAACTATGAAACTATAATGAAGATGGTTCAGGACTGTGCAACATTTTGTTCTGTTATACTAATGCTATGAGTTGGAGCCAACTCAATGACAATGAACAAAACACTACTCTGAACTTTACATTTTGTACAAGCTGATTCATTAATATCTTTAACTGATTTATTTTAAATGGTCAAAGATTGATCCTAAGGTTTACTTGTGGTCTTGATTATTTCTAACTAAATATCTGTTACCAGTTTAAAAAAAAAAAAAAAAAGGAAGTAACTTTTCCCAGGACTCTAAAAAAAATGTATAACCATTTGCCTTTGGATAAGGAATTAGTGGTAAAAATGTTCTTTCTTTTAAAATGTCTCACATACATTTGCTTCTAAAAAAAATTTGAAAAAGAAACACAAATACTTTTGTCAAAAAAAAAACACAAAACAAAAACCAAAAAACTCTACACGAACTGCTTACACTATCTGCCCACTGACACTAATTTTAAATCTACACAAATGCAGCATGTGCATAAATGTTAAATACTTCATTCCAATTCCTGAATAGCCATCATGAATATCAAAAAATGATCGATAGATACTTTAGTAAGATGACTTAGTAAAGGATATGCCCTTTTAAAGAATAGTCAGAACAGTGACATAGAAGAAAGATTGCTTTAGGGATGGTCATGTTTCCCTCCTACCCCTCAAAAGCACCTTAAAAATTGAAGATACCTAGGTTTGTGGATATCTAATATCTGTAGGAGATTCAACTACATATTACTAGAAAATTCTGCCTGATATCTAAACCTTGAGTTTTATAAATGAAAGAAAAAGGTGAGAATGAGCACAAAAATCTTCATTCTCTTAGGTAAAGGACATCATTCAAGTTTTCCTTTAAAGTTCAGAATTAGTCACATGGAATTCTCAATCCTCCAAAGAATTGGGTCTAAAAATGTGATTAGTAACTCAGCCAAATTTCCATCCAACTCACCATTCTCAAAAGGCAACAAAGGCAATACACAAATCATTTAAAATGTTTTTCTTTTTAATTTTAATGTTTAAAATGTATCTGCTTTTCTATCAAAATGTCAACTTAAATTTATACAACAAATAATTAACTTTTCAATAAAATAAGCAGTTTTCAGAAAAAAGTGCTCCTACAGGAAATGAAAAGATTAGTTATGTAAATGAAGAATTTTTGAATTTGTTTTATTCAACCAGATTTGCACACCTTATTCTATATTATGTTTTATTCTCAGTTGGGGAGAATACATAGAAAATCAGCAACATGTATGTATTTATAATTAGTGGATCGGTAACAGAATTTCCTTCTTAAAATATGACACATGTATTTCTAGCAAAAATGTTCACATTTCAACCCAATTTTCCTTATCAACCTCCCATTCTCCTCTTACCAAGAATAATTACTGATGTGGTCCCATCTCCAACTTCTTCATCTTGGGTCCGGCTAATTTCAATCATAGACTTGGCTGCTGGATGCTGTACTTGAATCTGAAAGAAAAATGTACACTGCTCAACTGACACTACTCAAAGGCCTCTTAACCCTTTGAGTAGTAGACTAACTCTTGAGCTTTTTTCTTCCATACTTACTTCTTTCCCTGTTTATTTACTACATCTTTAAAGGGAGCTTTAGTGGCCTAGTGCCTAAGGCATTTGACTGCTAACCAGAAGGCTGGCGGTTCAAACCCACCAGCCACTCCTTGGAAGGAAGATTGGGCAATCTACTTCCATAGAGA